CCAGCCGTTGCCGCCTGGCGTTTCGCCGCCGACTCCTCGCCCTCGTGGTCGGCCGCCGAAGCCCAAAGATCCCCTCGCTGCGGCCATCGCGAAAGCAGCCAGCGGCCTTCCTCGTCCTCGCGGTCGGCCTCCAAAGAAGCATCGGCCGGCGGTCGCCACCTCTCCCAAGAAGACATTAAAATCATCCATCTTGAAGCCGTCGGTTGCTGGCTTGAAAAGAGGGAGGGGAAGACCTCCTAAGGTCAGAGTGCCGGAGACCCACGCTGCGGATGAGTAGCGCATGTTTGATCTAATGTAACGAGGTTTGAAGAAATTTAATGCTTTTCGGTTGTTTAGCTTTTCTCTGTAGAGATGCTAATGAATTTAATATGTAAGTGTTTTTATCATTTTATGACGGTTCTGTATCTTTGTTAGGAGTTTTAATTTGCCTGTGCAAGATGTTGTATTACTGAGAGACTTAATTCATCACAATGTTTGAATTCTCTCTACTGTTGCAATTCTAATGTACTTCTTTATTTTTCTGGATCTCAGTTGTATTATTGCTTGTTTGTACGTAATTTTGTGTTGCATTTGCTGAATCTTCCTTCTATTAAATTTACAGAGCTTTAGCTGCATGTGAGATATGATCTCTGTTTTTTTTTAAATTCTTTTTAACAATTTTGTTATTGAAATGTTGTTGCAGATAAGCTTTAGTTGATGAATATTGATAATTGTGGAACTGTATGGATCTGGTGTTAATGATTCTTGATCTGAGAGTGATTTGTGGTACTAGTTCATTCAATTCCTGCCTTGATAGGGAATTTATCATTGACAATGAATTCTATTTTGGGGCTGTCTTTGATAATACTCTTTATGTAACTTAAGTGTTCTTTATTGTGAATCATTTATATGGCTTTCTTGCTTTGCAAATGGCTTTTGATTTTTTGGAATCAAGGACTTTTTGATTGCAAACAGAATTTAACTCTAGTACTAGTAAATCTTATGTATTGAAAATTAATATTCTTGTGAGGGTTAGTCCAAAAGTCTTTTTTGCACGAATGTTGTTAATTTAAAATAAATCTTAGGAGATTGTATGATTAGCTTTTTTTTTTTTGAGTTGAGATTTAATTGGCAATGCTTTTGGCAATTAAAACTTCAATAAAGAATTTTTTCTTTTGACAGCAACTAATATTATTGTAGTTTCATTAAGAATACATGATAAACATGTTCTAAAATAAAATGCATTTTAGCATGAATGCAAAGGTTTAAGCTTTTTATCTTATGCTAATATGTAAGTAATATTGGTTGACAAAAAAATGTTAATATAATTTGATACCTTATTTGAATAATGCCTCTTTCTCATTGCTTGAGATGAAATATACATTATCAGAGATCTAAACATTTTACTTCTAGATCCAACATGTCCATATTCTTCAAACTTTGCCCAACTTGTATGTATGTTATGATTTTCATATTCTACCTCATCGATCTTGACGCTTTGCTTGATAATCTCTTATTTTGGTGCTTGGTTGTGTTCATTAACATAGTCAACCGTATTGAATTCTTTTGAAATATTAGATCTTGTAGCCAAGCTTCTAAAATTTGGATTAAACATTGAATTGATAGAATGAAATGTTCAAGAATTAAAGATGTAGTTAAAATTTAAATGAAGTTAGAATTATAGTGAAATGATAAATTTTGAAATAATTTAACTCTCGGCTAAATGATGCGGTAGAAGTAATTGCATTTCAAACATGTTGTCATGATAGATTCCATAGAAGTGGTCTAAGAAAAAAAATTATTTAGTAATCTCATCAAAACATGACAATGACTTTAGATCTTGATCTTCATTTTATACATCCAAAGATATCATTTGGATTACCAAAATTGGTAGATAGATTGTTCGAGTTGATAATGATAAGAGTATAAAATAGAGAAAAACTCACTAATGTTCACAACCAACTAAAATTTTTGTTGAAAAAGTCATGACTTAGAATTAGAGAGCATGGTTTTAGGCAGTTTGGTTACAAATGTCGACCATCTAATGATTCAGTTAGGAGACTGGATGTTTTAGATTTAACTTATGTTAAGAAATGTAGAGGTTGGATTAACATGACTTGGATATGTATAAAAAATAATCTTAATTTATTAGAACTAAATGAAAATATGACACCTAGTAGGACACAATGAAGAAAAATATTCATGTAGCTGACCCTACCTAGTGGGATAAGAAATCATGAAATCCTTGGAATTTGTAAATAAAGAGGAAGAAGAAAGGTTTCATCTTGAGATGGATAAATAATAATAGGTAGGTTTATGCATTGAGAAGAAATAATTGCTGCTTATGAAAAACATGTTGCTTTCAATTTTAATTGTTTATGTTAATAATTATTTTTTAGTTGATTTTACCGATTGCTTGCTCATCTTAGCTCTTTTATATTCTTTTTAGTAATTAGTTGAATTGATTAAGTAATTTGTTTACTGATAAATTGGTTGGTTTTGTTATTTTTTTAAATTTTCTTGTTGTAACTTTGGGATTATTTATGCTTTAATAGAGTAGCACAGAGATCGAAAATTTAATTCAATTATAATCCTTAACAAAAATTAATATAAAGTAGATGTGTGTGGAGTTATGGGCAAATGATTATAGTTAAGATATTACAATTCATAACAAAATCAAAGCAAAAAAGGGTAAGCCCCTAAAACAATATAATGTCTAGGACTAATCCACACTATATATTGAGCACATGCTCAAACAATCAACATACTCAAATAAGGAATGTGAAAAGTGAGCTAGATGAATTTTTAAAAAATGATACCTTCTTAATGACCCTATAAGAGCAAAATGTGGAATTCTTAGATCACCACACATTATTGCTTTTGGAGATTACATCCTTGTTGTAAAAGATTGATCGGGGAGATTGCTTTTTTTGACTTGTTAAGGGGGAGATCAATATGTATGAGTTGGGATGCCAGATTTGCTATCTACGAGTTAGAAGAGATGGACTAGGGGCTTAATAATGTCGCTTGGGAGGTAGTTTCAGGAGAGCTTTTGGGAGAGTGATGTTAATTTATGATTGGAGAATATGAGAAGATAAAGAGTTGATTAGATTGAGTGCAAACATATAGAGATAGACATGCGAGATCTGTTAAGAAAAATATCGAAAAATATATTTAAATTATCTGTCATAATTGTATGTTTTTGTACGAATATTATTTTAATTCACGCATTTTGTGCAGGAAGCCCTCAGTTGAAGAAGATTGAAAATTTTTGGAAGTTGAAGTGCCATCACAACAATGCCACCATCAGTGCTGCAACACCACGTTCAAGCTGTTCCCAATATAATTCTCGAAAGCAGAGTGTCAATGTTATCGTAAAATGTAATAACTAGAAACAAATTAAAATAAAAAAAGAAAATCGATTTTATTTCATCTGGGACAATTCGAATCAATAGTTGTTTCAATTAAGTTCTTAAGTATTGAACATTTTGTTCCAAATGGAGGGAGTGAATTAAAGTGTGATTGAAGGACAAAGATGGAGATGGAAGAATAAGAGTATCCAGAGCCGGAGAAGTCATGTGATTATCTTACCAGAGATTCGATTCCAATTGGAATGTTGAGAGCCCCGACATGAAGGAGGAATAGGGAAAGTGTTTGTGCTCTCGACAAAGTGAAGATGTTGATGTCGAGTGTGGGTATTGTGAGGAAGAATAAGCCGTCCTAAGCCCTAGCCAAATTTATGAGGAAGGGCCTCTTGTGTGCGAGAGTCTGATTCGTGCAGTTAGGCTTGAGGGGAGAGGAGCTCGCATGTGGGGAGAAGACTTGTGTGTGTATCCCGTGTGCGCGGAAGAAGGGAGATAACACCACTTGCTAGAAGAAAGAGTTGAGCGATCTTTGTTTGATTTGTGCAAACAAAGACATCAATAAGCTAAAGTCTGCGAAGGGAGAAGACAGACACGTTCTTGAAGCTGAAGGACAAAGCAGCTCTGCGTGGGTTAATCAAATAAAATATTAATTTATAATAGTAAGGTTTAAGTCACATTTTGGATTGAGAAAAGGGTGGTGGCAATAAATAAATTTGAGGGTTTGATTTATTTAAGTTTTATTTATTTATTAAATCTATGAACTACTGTCACATGTAATAGATTCAAAAAAACTAATAATAAGTATAATAAACTATTATATCATATAAGTGTACGTATATTTATATAAATCATAAATCCTAATTGAAAACATATAAATTACAAAAATAACTAAAAAGTTAAATTAGGAGGACCAACTTTTTATTGTCAATATTTAATTAAGTTTAAATTGTTTGAAAGAAATAATTAAATTAATATTATGAAATGAAAATAGCAATTAGCATAATAATAACAAATAATTTTTATTATATGATACATCAATGATAAAATAGAATGAAATTGCCTTCTAATAATAAGATTAACATATGATAAATTAATAATGATTCTTTATGCATTTGACTTTTGGTTTTAATTAGAGATAATTGAAGTGAAGAGAACTTTTAACTAGAGAATCATCGTTAATTGAAATGAGTACTTATATTATTAAGCTATGATAGCTTTTTGTTTCTTCTGAATCATTTTTCATTAGTAATTTATTGGTATTTGTACAAGTTTTATTCTGATTGATATGCTCTTTTTTTATTGGTCACAATATCATTAATGTCATATGCTTATAGTTTTTTACTATCATGCATTAGTTTATGATATATATACTATCTGTATGTGCTTGCTCGACTATGATGAAGTCACTTAGTTATGGTACTAGTGATGGACGTTGATGTACCGGTGCACATAAATGACAAAGATATTGATATTGAATTACCTTAGCTAATATAATTTTTAAACGATGCTCATGTAATTGTTGCACATATATAAAATGATATAGATTTGTTATTGATATAGTGAAACAATTTACATATTATGAAATATCATGAGTGATCATATTCATAAACTATCAAATTTTTTATACCCGACCTATTAAAGACTTAACTAACATACATATTGTTTTCCTTTTCATTGTGTTACTATAATCTAGTTGTGTGAGTATTATCTGGTTTTAGTTAGCTCACTGTTGTTATAAACTAATATTTCAAGTTTACTTAATTGACTAAAAAATGAGCAAAATAAGATGAAATGTTTATAGAAGACGCGGATAATCGAGATGAGGTAAATTTAATTGTTTTACTTCGATGCATTTTTATAGTGACTCTTCATTACTAAAATCTTGGTTATAAAAAACTTAATTTTTTCACTGTCTGATCGTTTATATTCGCCTTGATTAATTTTAAGTCTCGGATTTGATCGTGACATACAATGCCATAATGTTATCTGTATTGCAATGGGATCACAACTCATTAACTGAAGAAGACAAAAAGCTTAGCGCTGCAGTGCTTATATCTAAGCTTCCCAGGGCTGCATCAATTTCACAATTTTGAATCTTGAGCGATGCAGCACAATGACCTAAATAAATAATTAATTTCATTCAAATCAAAGTTTCAAAGATGCAATGCGTGTTAAAAGCTATGGACCAAGGGCTGATTGTGCATGAATGTTGTTACGTGTTTAAAGAATGAACTCTTAGCCTTGGATGGGAGTGAGAGTGGGTGTGAAAGTGCCAGGAAGTGAAGGAGCGTTAGGAGAATGACTTTGGGAGCAATTCACCAAGGCAAAGGGGAGAGCTCCATAAGAAAACCTAGTGCAATTGTTCTCATTTATCTCTTGTTTCTTTATTTTGTCAACTCTTAAATTCTTTGTTTGAAATGACAGTCTTTCCATGTGTTGTATTTAAAATCATATTAGGCTAAAACTATTGCACTTTAGGTATGTAATTTTTAATCCAGATTCCATGTCTTTGTGAGTCTAGGGTTTTAATTTCAGTAATACTTGCTCACATCTCTAAATCCTTATTTAGTATTTGTAATGGCCATGAATTTGTTTAATATCACATATCATTTAAAGATGTAGTTAGAGCTCAAATGGAACATAGGAAAAGAATGGCTGAAATTTGGTAAGATGGACTATCTTTACGTAATTTTAGCAATCACTAGAAATAAGGATTTTGATCTTTTAAAGACAACATGCATTGGCATATAATATGATTACTTGAAATAATAGGGTTGCTATTGTTCAAGAGAGGTTAGAAATGATTGTTGTTCTTGATTGACAGTTAAATGTTTTAAACTCTTGATGTGTGAAGCCTAGTGAAGAAAGAAAAAATCCAAAGTCATGTACTCTGTGTGTTAACTTTGTTTCTAAATTTTTTTTATAAAATCAAAATTTTTAGAAGTTTTAGCTGTTAAATAGAGTTAGGGTTTAATGTCAGTGATAATTAGCAATCTTAGTAAAAATTACATAGATCATCGTGGGATGATATCTATTCTGTATTATTTAATTGGACATGTGCCTTGCATAAATCGTTCATAGGCCTGGTGCCTTGAATAAACATGCATAGGCTCGGTGCCGTGCCTAATTCATAGGCCCGTTCAGATATCATGACGAAAACTTCATGCATGAGATTCTCATTTTCTAAATTTGTTGAGTCTATTGAATGAGGAATTTTGTAAATGCATGTTTTGTTATGAATTGACGGGAAAAAAAGATTTATGATTATGCTGATAAGTTCATCATTTTTGCTATATGGTTAGATTTAACTTAAATCTTACTTAAAACTTCCCTTAATGCTATCAACAATCCCTTAGAAGTTGGGTCTTTGAATCCTTTCCATGTGTACATAGTTTAAAGTTGATTGTGTATTAACATTTATCATTTTATTTACTGCTCATGATTTTATTTGTAACCTAATCTCACAATGTTGAAGCTAGAGGTGTCTTGTGTGGGTCTCTAAATCCAGTAACTTTTGCGTAAGTCTTATGAGTGAAAAGTAAATGTTGATCTAAGGATGTATAGTTTTAATATTGACCTTTCTAAGTGCCAATCTTAGAAATTTTTTGTGTTTTTACAAAATAAGCATGCACTCGACCGATGCAGAAAATATAAATTTTTTTCTTTATTGGTGTAAGGTTTATTGTTATAATGTTATGTCATTTGGATTTAAAAATGTAGGGGTGACTTGTTGAATGATGATACATATTGTTTATAAGGAGCAAAATGGAAAAAATTGAAATTTGTGTTACTAGAATTTAGAAGTATGAGTATTCATTGATTGTTATAACTATTTTTTATTTTAAATTAACATTTCAAGGTTTAATCATTTGATCAGAAGATAAGTAATAAATAAGCAAATATATATAAAAGATGTGGACAACCTAAACTAAGGTAAGTTTATCATTTGTTTAATTTAATTTTTAAATTTTCTAGTGATTATTTTATTTATTTTGAGATGATTAAATGTTAGTTATAAAAAATAAAAATAGAACATTTTGATTATCACCATTTGATCGTTTGTTCCAGTATTGGAAAATTTTAAGCCCCGAACCGGGTCGGTCATGACAAAAAAAACTAATGACTTTCATTATTTGGGCATTCTTTACACTTCAATTTTATACATAGTGCGTAGTACTACTAATATTGGTTTTAGTTACACTCTTTGATCTATGCTTTGTGTGAGGGACGGTTTACTTGATGAGGCCAATGAGTGACTCGTCATCTCAAGGGTTGCAATTACAAGGAACCTTATTTTTCTCTTTAAAGCACCGGTGACTTGCCCCTGCTTCAGATAAGCTTTTCACTTTTGCATGGCCACGATCCTCTAGAGCCTTGTCAAATCGGATTCATTATCTGAGGAGTAATGTAATAGAGTTTGGTAGCAAGAATGAACATACAGAGGCTCACACCACTTGTAGTTCATCTGGTTACATGAGCACGATGCGATGATGGTCCATTTGTTCTTCCAATGCCAGTTAAATATATGACCAAACCGTGCAATGTTCTCTGAGCCGTCAGTGTATTGGCCCACTTGCGGGCATGGTCCAGCAGAACTGTAGTAGCGGTCATGGTCCAACAGAGCTGCGGTAGACGAGGAAGGGGGCAACGACGATGACGACGATGAGGTGACCAAAAAGGATTGTTGAGGGGAGTCTTTGTTTTGGTTAATTGTTTTTATTTAGCAGTTTCTTTTATCTGTATTTTTTTATTAACAATAAGAATGGAGTTTGGAGAGAAATGTATTGATGTATTTGAACTTTGTATTATGTGACCATCTTTTTTAAATTATTTTGTTTTAGAAGTTATAAACCTTATGTTTTTTATTGTGTAAACTTCTTAAAATAACTAGTTTTTTTAATGATTTTTTATTTGAAATTAAAAGTAACATAATTAACTTAGATTAATTCACTTATAAATTAATAAGTACAACAACAAAAAAAATTTATCCCCCTAAGTGGGGTTGGCTACATGAATCCTTCTTTTCTATCGCGTCCTATTGAATGTCATATTTTCATTTAATTCTAATATTCTAATAAATTAAGATCATTTTTTCATTTTTTATACAATATAGTCAAGCCTTTCTAGGTCTACCTCCGCCTTTCTTAACATAAGTTGAATCTAATACATTTACTCTCCTAACTGGATCATTGGATGGTTGACGTTTAATATGACCGAACCATCTAAGACGACTCTCTCTAATTTTGTCTGCCACATGAGCTACACCAACCC